GACCAGCAGCCAGCCTAGGCAGTGATGGGGCTTCCTGACCCAGTCGGGTCTGAGCCACAGGCCTCCAACTGGGCTGGAAAGACAGGCTTGACAGAGTGGCCTCTGGGGCCTGGTAAAGGAAGTGTTGCGGTTACTGTCATCGTGGGGACATGGTTCTCTGAACCTGCAGCTGGGTCTTTGCCCAACAGAGCTGGTGCTCCAAGAAGCAGCTGGTTCTTTTGTTGTTTTGTTTTTTTGAGACAGGGTTTTGCTCTGTAGTTCATCCTGGCCTTGAACTCACTATGAAGCCCAGGCTGGCCTTAAACTCTTGAGATCCTCCTGCCTCAACCTCTTACAGGGATTACAGGCGTGTACCATGCCTGCTTGAAGCCTGGTTCTAACAGGCATTTGGTTCTGGTTCTGGCCTAGATGGGGCCCCAGTAGATTGGAACCATTTTCCCTACTTAACAGGTAGGAAAACAGGCCCAGGGACAGATGGGAAGAGGAAGGGGACAGGTTAGGCTGTGAGGCTGGTGTCTGTCTCAGGTGCACTCAGTCGGGGGTTGGCGAGGACCTGAAGGGCAGCGGAAGGGTTATGACGCTCGGTGCAGGCATGTCCTCTGCAGACCCTGACATCCGCCAGCCTGTGGCCCTGTGGCCAGCATCAGGACTGAAGTTCCACCCGGGGCCCTCGTGACAGGGGGTGGGGTGGAGGTTGGGAGCAAGGTCTGCCTGAGTGCAGGGCAGCCCTGGGGAGACGTCTGCTCTGCCCTGTGCTGAGGGGCGAGGGGCGGGGACAGACACACCTGTGGCTGGTCTGCTTTCCCAGGGAAATGGTCCTTTGCATAGACACCACCTCCGCCTGGGCTGGAGGGCAGATGGGGCTCTGGACCCACACATGCACACGCGCGCACACACATACACGCGCACAGGAACACATCGCTTCTAGTCTCTGCAGTGTTGGAACACCTCACCCATGGAGATTTGTCCAGGTCCCCGTTTATCTGTGCATTTAATGTCCTTTAGTGGCATTTTAGATTTTTTTTTTGAGTTTTAGGTTTTTCTGCATGAGGATTTATGCAACTGTTACTAGGTGAATCTCTGACAAGAAGCCTTCTGTTCTGCTGTTCTGTACAGGTGTCCTTGTTTTCTGCTTATTTTCTGGTTAATGTGGAGGAATGCTGTTGAGATCTGCTTATCAGTGTTACATCTGGCAGCCTTAAAACGCCCCTCATTCTGCCAACAGATAGATGTCTGTGGTTCCCTCCCTCCCGCTTTTTCTTTCTCCTCCTCCCTCCCTTCCTCTCACGCTCCCTCGCTCTCTGATCTCCCTCTTTCCCTTTTTCTGTCTTTTTTTTGTAGCGCTGGGGGTGGAGCCCAGGGCCTCACAAATGCTAGGCAAGTGCTATACCACTGAGCTACATACCCAGCCCTTACTATTTTTATTTTATTTTGAGCCAGTGTCTTGCTAAATTGCCCAGGCTGGCCTTGAACTCCCGATCTTCCTGTCTCGACCTCCAAGTAACCCGGATTGCAGGAGTACTCAATTGTGCCTGGGGCCCATTTAAAGAAAGTTTCCTTACTAGTGTGGGTTAGCAGTAGATAATGACTACATTCATAGGAGTTGGAACTTGTGCATAACACATTTTAATCCTTTTTTCGTCTTTAGTTTGTTTTTTTTTTTACATAAATGTTTGTATCTGTTGCACTGTTTGGGTGAAGGGTGGCTTCTTGCTCTGGTTTTCACTTTTCCTTCACTTTTATTTATTTATTTATTTTTGTTTTGTTTTGGTTTTTTGAGAAAGGGTCTCACTATGTAGTTAGTTGAGACTGATCTGGAACTCACTATGTAGCCCAGGCTGGTCTCGAACTCACAGCGATCTTCCTGCCTCAGCCTCCTGAGGGCTGGGATTACAGGCGTGTGCCACCACACCTGGCTCTTCACTTTTATTTTTGGTACCAGGGATCAACTTGGGACCTTGCGCTTGTGAGGCAGGCAGCGACACCACCGAGCGAAACTCCCAGCCCTTGTCCTTCACTTCTGAGCATCTCTTATTAAGCTGGTGTCCCAAAGTGGCATCAGAGGCCAGAAATGGGTATGGAATGGCTCCTGCATCCCCTCCCTCCTCTCCCTGCCTTCTTGTCCAGCAAAAGGGCAGCAGAAGGGATAGAGGGGCTGGACTGCTGGCCGAAGGTGATACGGTGGCCCAAAGGGTCCTCGGGGCTGCTGTCCCGTGTCACAGGCTCCCTGAAGGCTGAGTTAGGTGTGGAAAGGGGGTCAGCGGCTCCTATGGTCCCTGAACTGCCCCAAGTGCAGCTGGACATCTTTGCACTGGAACTTAATCTTGATTTTCCCTCATTTTTTAAACCACTGCCAAGTGCTGGAGCAAAACCTGGGTGTGGCTCAGCGGTGAGCCCGTGCCCAGCATGCATGAGACCTTGGGTTCCATCCCCAGCACTGCAAAGAAAGAAAAAAAAAGGTGTTTGCACTAAGCACAGTTCCCATGTTGGGTATGCAGGTGTCGCTGTGCCCTTCATGGCCTCCAGCCCAATGGCTGAGGGTATTGACTGACTCTGTGGTCACCAGTGCTGACTGCAAGGGCATCCCAGGTGCCCCTCTCTGCGGCTGGGCCAAAGGGGAATGCGTTGACAGGTGCGGCTGCCTGGGCCTGGCCTCCCCTTTTGGTGGCTTTGGCTGTGTCAATGTCTGATTCTCCATCCGGCTCCTGTGGGCCTCTGTCCGGAGAAGGAAGCTTCCTCCCGTGAAGCTGAAACAGCCGTCTCTCCGCAGTAACAGAAGTCCTGGGCGTTTGTTCTTTTTCGAGTTCTAGAAGGAAGAGCAGTGCTTTCCTTCTATGGTTTCTCTCTCAGCCCCGGCTGTGCCACACCCTGGGCCTGGCACAGTGACCGATGATGTCACCGTGTACTGCCTGTCTCCTTGGCTGCCACCGTGTGGGGTGCACTGTTATGAATCACCTGCCTGGAGTCAGCTCCAGGTCACCTGGTGGGAGGTCCCAGCTTGGGTCCCTTCTTGGACCTTGCTTCTGCAGCCACTTCAGGAGTGGACATCGGGACACTGGTCTGGGGTGGGGGGCATGTGGACCTTCTTGGCTCAGTGGTGGGCTTCTTTGTACAAAAAATTCAAAAGACCTTGTTGGGGGAGAGCTGTTTCAACTCTCTGGTGTAGGCAGACAGAGGAATTCATTTAAAAAATCCAGGATGTAACTATAAGAAATTAATGGGTGGGGCTGGGTGTGGTCACACGCACCTGTAGTCCCAGAACTCTGAGGTTGAGGCAGGAGGATTCCCAAGTATTAAACCTGGACAGTTTAGTGATTTCCCACTCAGCAATGCCATCAGGGCCAGGCTCTCTCTACCTCACTGTTTGCACCCTTAGTTGGCTGCTGCAGCTCCAGCCCTCCCTCTGTGTTCATGGCAGCAAGGACGAGCTGGCCTGGGTGCGTTGCTCCCTTGCCTTTAGCCTCTACCTCTACTTCTTTTGTCCAAGTGGGGTCACGTGGCCAGCAGGGAGCTGCAAGGGTTGCTGGGAAATGGGACAGAAGGGTTGACATTGGCTCAGATGAGTGGGCGTGCAGAGTCACTGGAAGAACACAGGTTGTGCTAGCAGGGCCCCGGGAATGGCATGGGGATGCCCGACTTACAAGATGCAGGTGTGATATGTTTAGCGGAGAGGCTCAGCAGGCACCCTTCCATTTTGCTTGTCTTTCTCACTCCAGAGAAGTAGCAGACATCAAAACAGGTGTCATCTTCCATGACACTGAGGTATGGCTGTTGGTGGGGGGTAACTTTTGTCCCCTCTGCTGACAGCAGATACCTGGGCTTTTCAGTTGGGCTACTCTGATTTCACAAAAGTGAAAAATTCGAGGGCCCTGGTGCATCAGGTGCCTGCTTAAGAGACGGACGAGAACAGACTTGGTGACTCACCCTGACACACAGCCGGGACACGATGGGCTCAAGCTGATGAAAAGAGTGGGCATCGGTCAGGGAGGGAGCCCTGCAGGGGTAGGAAGGTCTGACACCAGTCCTTTTCACTAGGAGGGACCCAGCCCATGCTCCTGGAAGAAAAGCTGGGCTTGGGCTGAGGATTTAGCTCAGTGGCACCGCACCTGTCACAGGTTCCCATGTACCAAAAAAAAAAAAAAAAAAAAAAAAAAAAAAAAAGAAAAAGAAAAAGAAAAAGCTGGGCTTGGTGGCACACACCTGTGGAAGGCAGAGGCAGGAAGATCACAAATTCAAGCCCAGCTTGGGAAATTTAAGACTTCAGTGAGGCCCTGTCTCCAAACAAACGAGCTGAGGATGTAGCTTGGTGTGAAGGCCCTGAGTTCAATCTCCAGTACCACAAAAAAACAAAACAACAAAAACAAAGCAGCGAGAGAAATGCATATGATGTACTTATTTGCTTAATGGTGCTGAGCCCTTTTTGAGATAGGTTCTCCTTCAGTTGCCCACACAGCACGTGAACTCGTGACCCTCTTGCCTCAGCCTCCCATCTCTGGGATTACAGGTGTGCAACCATGTCTTGCTGTAACTTTATTTTTTGGTACCGAGTCAAACTCGGTACGAGCTGAGGATGTAGCTTGGTGTGAAGGCCCTGAGTTCAATCTCCAGTACCACAAAAAAACAAAACAACAAAAACAAAGCAGCGAGAGAAATGCATATGATGTACTTATTTGCTTAATGGTGCTGAGCCCTTTTTGAGATAGGTTCTCCTTCAGTTGCCCACACAGCACGTGAACTCGTGACCCTCTTGCCTCAGCCTCCCATCTCTGGGATTACAGGTGTGCAACCATGTCTTGCTGTAACTTTATTTTTTGGTACCGAGGATCAAACTCGGGTCTTTGTGCTTGCAAGGCAGGCCTCCGAACCGCTGAGCCAAATCCCCCGCCCTTGCTGTAACTTTTTTTTTTCTTTAGTTTTTTGAGACAAGTTCTCACTATGTAGTCAAGGCACTCACTATGTGGCCCAGGGTGGCCTCAAACTCAGGGCAATCCTCCTGCCTCAGCCTCTTAAGTGCTGGGATAACAGGCGTGTGCCACCATGCCTGGCCTAAAACATTTAATCAGTGTTTCATGTGACACAGGGGCCTGTAGACAAGAAGATCCCAGATCCAGGGAGGGCTGGGTGTCGCTGAGCAGTACAGCACTTGCCTAGAAGTGGCCTGTCCTGAATCGCAGCTGTTGGGTTCTGGTGACACTGAGGCTCTCTGTCCTCCAGAGGAGATGTCGGAAGCAAGACCCGTCGCCAGGGATGTACTCATGGAGACCCTGCTGTACGAGCCTCTGTTGGCCACACGGGCCTTGGGTGAGACACAGCCCTCGAGGGGAGAGGATCTCCATCCCCCAGGGGACACTAACCTGGTGGGCTGCCTGGAAGGCAGGTAGGTTCCTGGATGCTGGCCTTGTGGGAAGGGGGCCTCTTGCAGCAGATGGCCTTCTGGGCAGCCTGGGAGGAGACAGTCCTTTAGCCCGGGGCCCTTGTGCTCCAGTGCTGACTACCAGGGGCTTGGACACTGGCTACAGGCCACCTCAAGGCCTCTCCCAGAGCCAGGCCCCTCATGGACCCTGTGTGGGGACTCGGGCAGAGGTGGGTGTTCCCTGAGAGCCAGGCTGAGTTGGGTGAGCCACAGAGGGCCTGGTGTTGTCTGGGAGGTGTGTGCTGGGTGCTTGAGCCCACTCTCTTGTCAGTCGAGGACTTGGGTTCGAATGTGGGGGTCCAGCATGTGCCTGTGAGCCCTCCGTTCTGAGAGGGGTGATGATGGGGGTGGTTTTGGGATCGGGGATGGAGGTCAGAGGAGGAGGGGTAGGCGAGACCCCCGTGGGAAACCAGCCTCAAACCTGCCTGTCCCCATTGTCCACCAACCTTGCCAAAGCCCACTGGGGGCCCGTCCCAGGAAATCCAGGGCACCCAAGCCTTCCTGGAGTTTAGGGATCTGTGGGTGTCACGGAGAGATGTCCCACCCGCTAGGAGAAGCACCATGAGGGTGGTCCTGGGGCTGGGACCAGCCTGTCAGGCTCTCAGGCAGCCCCGAGTTCCCTTCAGAGCCCGCCTGTGCATGGGGACATGGGGAAGTCTCGCCCGCCATAGCCTCCATCACCCCACACCTCCACACAGCAACCTGGTGGCCCTGCGGCTGGCCTGCATCGGGGACGAGATGGACCTGCGTCTGCGGAGCCCTGGCTTGGCCCAGTTGCCTGGGAGGGCCATGCACAGGTAGCCTGCGGGGCCCCGGGGGGATGCCTCCCCCTTCCCACCCTACCCCCGCCTGGGATAAAGCAGAACCCAGAGCCTTCCCAGGTGCTTAGAGGGAAGCCCCTGAGGAGGGCGGCAGGACAGTGACCATGGGGGCTGTGTCCCACACAGCCAGCTCCGAGCTGGGCCAGCACCCTGTGGCTGGGCAGGTGGGGAGGAAGCGGGAAGTCAGCGTGAATGCGTGCAGCAGAGAGCCTGAAGGAGGTGGGAAGGGGACAGCGCCTGGACTGGGGGACAGGCCATGTGCTCCTCACAGTGCTGGTGATCCCCGCCGATTGTCTTACAGCCTGGCCGTCACCTACAGCCAGATGGGGCTCTGGGGTGTGCTCAGAAGCCTGACTCATGGTCTCGCCAGCCTTGGGGACATGTGGACCTGGAGACGCCCAGCCTCCCCGGCCTGGGTAAGAACCTGAGGCCTTGTGTGACGCTGCCCCGAGGACCAGGTGCTATCCTCCTCTGGGACCACCTTCCTGTCCCCCACTTCCACTCTGGTTCTGCTCCCACCCCAGTCGCAGGTGCCACGCCTGTCCTGCGTCCCCCATCTTGGCATCCCTTTGGCCGGTCTGGCCCTCACTGTCCCCTCCTGGTCCCACAGGTGTCCCCCAGCCGGGCCTGCAGGCGGCTGCTGCCGGTGGTGCTGATGGTGCTGCTGCTCGAGACCCTGCGCCTGCTGATGCAGTGAAGGCTGGCAGGCAGGCGGGCTGGTCCCTGTCCCCTGCCACCACTGCCCCAGGCGGCCACCACCTGGCCAGCTTTGTTCTTTTTAATGGTAGTTTTGTGAAGATCCTTTTTATATTTAAGCTCAATAGTGCTGGGACACTGCTGAGATTTGTACTGGAGTTCGTTTTTCTAACGAATTAATTCTTCATACCTCTGGGCTGTTACTGGTTAACTGCAGGGATTCTACCTGGCTGGGCCGCTCTGCTCTTCCTCACCCTGGGCCCCCAGGTGTGACCTGCCCCCTGGAGGGAGCCTCCCCCTCCCCAGGGGCTGGTGTGGGTGACGGGGACGTGCTGGTCACACCCGTGTCATTGATACCCAAGGCACACAGAATCTACTGGACTAGATTTCTGAGGTGCGGAGTTCAATAAAATGTTGGTTTCCAGCTGGCTCGTGTCCTCTGGGGTTGCAGCGCCCCTAGAGGCTGAATGTGGTGGAGGGAGGAGGTGGGCCTTGTGCCATCCAAGGACCGCAGGTGCTGATTTAGTTTGCAGTATATGCCCCTCCCTGTCCTGCTCTGGTGCCTGAAAACCACCATTAGTGATTATTTCCTTTGGACTTCAGTGCCTCATAAGGATGTCTGTCCCCTTGTCCTGGTAGGGCCTGCTGGGGAGGAAGGCCAGCTCCCACCGTCTGGGTTCAGAACTGCCCCAGACTCCTGTTGTTTTGAGGGCGCATCGAGGCTCCAAGTCAGCCCCCCCACTCACAGCAAAAATGTGAACACTGGGGCTGGGGATTTAGCTCAGTGGTGCCACCACCTGCCTCATGAGGTCCTCAGATTGATCCCTGCTACCCCTCCTCCCCGCCAAATGTGAACACTGGTTAGGCGGTCATAGCCCGGTAGGCCTCCTCTGTCCCGGACCTAGGGCCAGGCCGGCCCCTTCCAGCTTCTCAGCCCTGGGGAGGCTCAGCCCTTCAGCCATGCTGTCTAACCTTCCCTGGGGACTCCAGTGCAGACACTCAGCACCTCAGAGGGGAGCCCACACCCATCCCTAGGGCACTGCACCCTGGTGACCAGCTCGTCAGCTGTGAGCCAGCACCTCCCTGCAGTGCCAGGCTCAGAATGTATAAACTAAGCAGGGGCACCCCAGGATTGGCATGGGAGGCATCCCTGGGGATGGACAGCTGCTGGGACCGTAGCACTGCATGGGCCAGCCCTGGTATAACTGAAACCTCTGGGACTTGGCGACCTCCCTGGACAGGACTCCTGCTCCTACCATGGCTGTCACTGTTCCAGGTGGTGGGAGCTGAGGTGGCAGACACTGGCTCTGCCCTGAAGCAGGTAGCGGGGTGATAGCTGCAAGGACCATGTGCAAGCTGTCAGGGCTGGTGCAGCAACTCCCATTGGGAGTGACGGCAGGCACAAGGGGCCCCTCCTGTGGCCGCACGCTGCCTACATAGGGGTGGGCCTAGGTCTGAGAACAGAACAACGGTCTAGTGAGGCATGGTGGCGCATGCTTGTAATCTCAGCACTTGGAAGGCTGAGGCAAGAATGACGGCCATGACTAGACTACACAGTGAGTTCAAGGCCAGCCTGAGTTAGAGTAAGCTCTATCTAAAACAAAAGTCCCACTACCAGAATTCCTGTGGGTGAAACAGCATGGCCCAGGGAAGCTGCTTCTGAGGGTGGGAGAGCAGGCTGGGGCCTGAGGCAGAGGCAGAGGCAGAGCCCCTTCCCTCTGTGCAAGGAGCAGCCATTGGCCTCCCACATTCACAAGCAGTAAGCTCCAGGCCTGCGCTTCCCGCTGTGGCACCTCACATAGGCCCTGCCCATGGCTTTTTGGGGATTTTATGCTTGGGGCTGAGTGGAACCCTAAGATGTCACCTTGTGTGGTGCTGGGACTGTGGGCAGTCTGCACCTCGTCTGGCTGCTGTGACTTCCGCCCCCACAGGGGTTCAGACTTGGTCCTTAAAAAGCTGGGCGGGGGCCCATAACTGTGATCTCAGCGTTCTGGGAGGCTGAGGCAGGTTTCCCAAGTTTCAGCCCAGCCTGGGCAATTTAGTGAGACTCTGCCCTAAAAAATCTTACAGTAGGGCCAGGGATTTAGCTCAGTGGTTCTGCTGCCTGCCTCAAGTGCAAGGTCGAGTTTGATCCCTGGTACCAAAAAACAAACAAAAAAACTTATGGTAAAGGGAGCGCTGAAGAAGTACCTCAATGCGAAGCCCTGGGTACAATCCCTACTATGAAAAACAAAGTTATTTGTAGCTGGGTGTGATGGTGTGCACCTGTAGTCCAGCACTCTGGGAGGCTCAGGCAAAATAATTACAAATTTGAGCCTAGTCTGGACAACTGTGACTTAGTGAGATATTGCTGCAAAAATAAAAATAAAGGGGCTGGGGATTTAGCTCAGTGGTGCCACCGCCTGCCTCACAAGCACATGGTCCCAAGTTTGATCCCCAATACTTAAAAAAAAAAAGCCCTGGGTTCAGTCTCCAGTATTGAAAAACTAAAGTTCTGGGCCAGGGATTTAGCTCAGTGGTTCCACTGCCTGCCTTGCAAGCGCAAGGAGCCTAATTTGATCCCCGATACCAAAAAAAAGAAAGAAAAAGTTTGTTGTGAAGAATAGTTCTCTCTGCTATGTTGCTATGCACCTTTAGTCCCAGCCACCCTGGAGGCTGAGGCAGGAGGATCCCAAGCCCAGGAGTTCAAGACCAGCCTGGGCAACACAACAAGATCATGTCTCATAAAACACAAAAATGAGCTCTTTCCAAAGAATTCCCATGCTCCTTAATTTTTTTTTTTTTTTTTTTTTTTTT